AATGGAAATAGGATTTCAATTCCACTCGTCCAAACAGTTAAAAGCAAATTAATTCATTCCAAATCCGATTCCAAACTCCTATTTCCACGAACCAAACGGGGCTTAGATCAGACGGTCAGATAGAATCGGATCTAATATTTTTCCTTTACCGAATTCAATATATGATCCAATCCGTTTGCAGGCCAAATGCCGAGATGCCCCATAGGCGGGCAAAAGCCACTCAGGGGAAATCGCGAGCTATGTGTCGAGATAAGTTCAAAAGGTATTCCGGTGGATCACGAGCTACCATAATAAATAGCCCCACTTGTGGCAAAACCAGTGAATCTAGAATCAAACTTTATGGGGAAATATCTACAATCACGATTTTAAGTGTGCTTCCATTAATTCCTTCCACGAGGTCAGGACAGTGACAGGAATTCAGGGTACAGAATCTTCAAATCCCATTTAAATAAAGAAAGTGTAGTTCATGAGCTGTAGAATTTTCTCCTATATATCAGTGGTTTTGAGCCTATGTAGTTTGGTATCTGTGGGTGTCTTTAGAGTATAAAAATCAGATAATCCCGACCCTCCAATTTCGCTTTATTTAATATAATTACAATTACGGACGAGCGGCCGTTTTATAATAAAAAAATAAATTTTAAATTATTAATATCTGCTGTACACATCTGTTGATGGTGGATGCACGCACAACATCATCGTATGAAACACCAATAATGAGCACAAAACCTTTGATTGATTTGTTTCCTAGTAGTTTTCTTGAAGTTCGAGAGGGTTTAGGACTATGGGTCCAGAACCCCTGGGGACTAGGTCTGCACGTAGACCCTTTGTCCACACTGATTCTTTAGTTTTCTAATGATTTCTCGTTGTCTTTAAACCTTTGTCACGCTCCACTCAGAATTCTGATTTTAACTGAATATCTACAATAATTCAAATTATAAGCAGTTACACCTATAACAACATATCCGCCCTTAAATTAGCATGAGCTAGTATTTCACAGTAAATTTCTAAACTTTTGTAAATCAGTTAGAAATTGATTTTTTTTTTCTTCCGAGAAGTACCGAGAGGTCCAATACAAATTTTTATTTCCACTGTAGCTATAAACATTTAAAATGTCAAAAACCCTACTTTATACACCAATGCCCTCTTGTGAATTGGCATCAATTCCAAGTTGATACCTACTTCAATTGTCTTTTATGCCTAAAAATTCTGACCTTGAGCTTAACCGTCATTATCCCTTTTTTATTTTGGGAGAATGACGGTTCAACCCAGGGTCAGAATTTGTAGGTTCAAAGTACATTTGAGGTAGGTGTCATCTTAGAATTAATGCCAATTTATGGGTGGGTATGGGTGCATAGAGTGTGGGTTTTTGAGATTTTGAATGTTTATAGCTTTGTAGTGAAAATCAGAGATCTGCATTGGGCCTGTCCGTACTTCTCCGTTTATTTTTTCAATAGTAAAGTTCGATCATTCGAATTCAATAAAGATGTTGGATATTTTAAAAAATGTTAAATGATTAAAAGAAAAAGAAAATATAACAGCCTAAATAAAGAAAAACAAAAATAAAATTTTTTCAACTATTTTCATCATAAATAAAATTAATTTTTATAAAAAATAAAAAATACAAAAATGTAATATAAATAAAATATGAATCGTATGGTTGTTTACTAATGTGTGTTATGATCATGGCCACGTAAGCTTTTTCCAATTATATGAGGTTGGTGAACAAGATTTATATGAACGTTTTAGCTATTCAACGGGCTGTGAAACCAATGATAAAGTTTCATGCCAATATTAAATATATGGGGCTCACATATTTTACTACCACGGAATCTCATTATTGGTTCCACCGCTCATTAAATAGCTAAAGTGTTCAAATAATCCGAATTTGGAATTGGCTACCATGTTTTTTCCACTATCTTTTGTTCAATGACGTATTCATTCTTCAGTGATGAATGTTTAGATCATTTCTTACCACTTGATTCATCAATGTGTGTGATTAAATATGGCAATTTCTACCCTACCTTAAAGATTTTTTATACCTAAAAAATGGTTGGGTGTGGGGATGGGTTTTGGGATTTCAAAACCCATTCAGGTCGCATTTTCATGTGTGTAAAGATTTGGATTTTAAAAACACATCCCTACGTATGATAGAAATTGACTTATATTTGAGATCGGTTAGAACACAATATCACAAGACATTATTTTTACTTATTTTTCTTTTCTTAATTTATTAAAACAACATTTTTATTTTTAGAATATATACATACACACAAAATAATGTTTTTTAGTGTTAAAACTATTAATTTAATTGAATTTGGGATTTAGATAATCTGTGGTGCATCCGTTGCATTGTGCAACAAAATATATGATTGATAGAATATGATGATTAGTACATCTAAAACGCGAACGTAATTGGTTATGACTTTGATTTAACATACAACTTATACAACAATAGCAGTGAATACACCGTAATTAAACTCTTTATATAAGATTATTCTTCAATTTATAATATTTTTTTGGTTTATATATGATTAACTAGATAATTTAATCAATTGAAATTTATGTTTTACATATCCAATCGACTTTAGATCTCGTGGATCCTTATCGATTTGGATTTGGATATACCACCATCTAATTTCATATGATCTGTGTGCTTCCCTATAACTAGAGTTGTCATCATTCCTTGTTTTTTTCATACGAGGAGCCCATTTCTATGGGCAATTTCTTTAACACAAAATTAGATACTCCAAATCGACCCACTCAAAAGTAAACAAATAAGTAACAAACAAAGTATATACGGGAAATCTAAAGATCCAAAGGTAAAGCACATTAACTGAATAAAATATTCTATATGGAAAACCGTTATGATTTAAAGGTATATCTTAAACCGCAACTAATCATCTAACATTGAATAACTCCGTGGCCGGCCCACAACATCATCATCGGTAGATGTTTTTAATACACGGCAGGAATGTACTGTGGGGCGGAGATGTGATTACATCGAAAACATTGGAATACATAACATATGCTCTAGTACGAAAGTATGGGAATGCAAATAATTAAAAGAAATTGTAACTTTTGATTTATTTCTGCTTTGGCTTTTACTAACAAAACAAAGTAAAACCCAAAATTGGACTCAAATTATCTACAGTCCTATTCTTTTACATCAGTGCAAATGGAATTGCACTGCAAACGAAATAAACAAACAAGGCCCAACTTTACCTCCCAATATATTAGGGTTTTCAGTAACTTCCCTACTAGTATTACCATTTACCATGGCTAAAGGCTGATCCCATCTTGGTAGATAAACGAATCATCAACGTTCAGGAGATGAAAGATCATTTGATCTGGTTGATTCTGGTGATGGGGCAACTTGTGGCCCCTGGCCTCTGTTGCAATAAATTTCTGTTGTTGTCATAATTGTCGTTGAATGAAGATTCCTATCTAGTGGTTGTTATCGATGACCCTGACCCTCCCCCTCCCGTGGGGTAGAAATAAATAGAACACCTGAATCTGAATAGCTCGACCAATTGGCTCTGGAGGCACTTGCAGTGTTCGACACGGTGAAGACGGGACACTTGGCCTCACCGCAGTCGGCGGGAACCGGACGACGACACACAACCTAATGTTGATTGTAGTCTTTGCCCGCAGCCCACATAACGAACAGTCCAAGACACCATGTCCAAACCGAATGAATTCCGTGGGCCGTCCAGCTGGCACAACTTAAGACGCCATTTGGATGTTTCCTTTGTAACCAATAATTACGTTTTCAACGGAAATTATTACCTGTTACATTATAATTAAAGATCCAGTGCGCCGAGCCACTTGATCAGGATCATGTGGCTCTAAGACCCAAGCAGGTTGCCACTCACCAGAATCAAATACAAAGAATGTTAATCGGACAACATAATGAAAGGTGGGCCAAAAAAGTTAATCGAGAAAAAGACCCCCCACTTTGGCAACTTTTTTAGACCATAACATCAGTCCAGAGATTGTCATTTCAATACAAATTATTAATAATAATAATTCCTTTTTCTTTCTTTCTTCTCCAGAGACGAGAGTGGGATCATAATTACACGACCCCACATGGTGCTAAAACGCGCCTGGTATGCGCACGCAGTGGGAGGCTCTTTTTTTTTGCCCTTTTTCGGCCCTTTCCGTGCCTCGTGGAAGCACCAGAGTATCCGGCTCCGAGAACGTAGAACGTAGAAGGGAACGAGACGTCACCGCTTTTGTCCGTTGCGAGCCACGTACCAATGAGACATAAAAATAGGGTGCCTCGTTGGTGTGTAATACTAGGATACACGTGTATAGGGCAAGAGGGGCAGAACGGGCAGCCTCCCCAGGTGCCCGCCATTCTCGGGCAGGGGTTGTGGGCAGGGGGAACAATGACCTCGAAAAGCGAGCGCATGATAAGCCCCAAACCGGTGGTGTGGGGGTGGGGCCCACGGTTCGATGGTTTTTGTGAGGTGGGGGGCCCGGCGAGAGCTACAAGTTGGGGAGGGGGGAAAGCGACAAGGGTCCGGCAAAAAAGCGATGGGGCGATGGCGACATGTTTTGAAACGTTACCGGGCATCCCGGTTGATCGGAGTGCATCCGTACGATGTGGAAACGGGAAGAGCCGGTCAATGTAGGAAGGCAGGTCACATGTGTTGACACTTGGTAGGTCGTGAGTGGAGTGGGCAGCTTAGGCCTTTGAAGCATTCGATTCTGGGATTCTTAATTTCTTTTTTCATTCTTCCATTAACACCCTCGATTTCGTCAAAACCACTAGAATGCCCGTGTTGCATGGTACAGTGCCAAGGCCAGAGAGTGGCATATTCGTAATTTATGAATAAGACAAGGGTGATTTGATCTTTAACACAAGCAATGCAGATCTTGCAGCCAATGGATTCAAAAGGAAGGAATCCAGAAATCCGCCAGTGGTTTATAGCCCCCATCTTCAAAACAACTGAGAGGAAGAAAAAAAAACTAAAAACCCACTCCAGACTCCAGTCCTTGGGTTGGGGCCCTCCCTTTCTCTTTCAGAGTTTCAGTCACCAACTCCCTTTATAAATCTCCGCCATTCCTCCCCTCTTTCCTCATTCTCCATCTCCTCCGCTTTCAGCCCATCTCAGCGATCGACTCTTGAGATACAGAGACCATAACAGGCAAATATCAATAGTAATGGACTTGTCCAGCATGAGAAGACCTGCTTTCTTCGACGACGACGATGGTTTGGCTTCGATTCTCGATATGGAAGCTGGGTTCTCAGGAAGTCACCCTCCCTCGATGAAATCTTCGCGCTATGGTGGGTTCAAGAGGAGGGGAAGTTACAGGGCTCTTTCTTCTTATTCGTGTTCTTCGCCGAGGTTTTATGATGCCAGATGCGAAGAGCACCATTTCCTCGAAGCTTGTTTTCTATGCAAGAAACCTCTCGGAGATAACAAAGATATCTTCATGTACAGGTTAGCATCTTGGCATCCCTGCCTGATTCCAAACAACCCATTTCATTTTGATTGATTTTTCTTCTTTTTTCCTCGTTCTGACGGGTAATCTGGATAATATTGCAGGGGTGATACACCATTCTGTAGCGAAGAGTGCAGACAAGAACAGATAGAAATAGATGAAGCAAAAGAGAAGAACTGGAATCTCTCTTCCTCCATGAAGGCTCTTAGAAAAGATCAGAAGAAATCCTCAACCAACAAGGCCCAGAGTTACCCTGTACGGACCGGCACCGTCGCTGCTGCTTAGAATCCTAGACTGTTAGACACCTCTCAAAAAAAAAAAAGATAAAAGATAAAAACACGGCTTCTCTATCTGAGAAAGGGGAAGGGGTCGGTCGAGAGAGAAAAAGAAGACCCCATTTTTCGAGATTTTTTTTTCTTTTTCTGGTATATAGTTGTGAATGCTTATAAGAGGACTGTGTTGGGTTGTACTGTGCAAGATGTAATGGCCCTTTTTTTTTAAATCTCTTGGGCGAAACCTTCAATAGAATGAGAATCAATGGAAGTTCCTCTGTAATTCCTGTTTGCTTTTTTTTTTTGGTTTCTTGGTCTTTCACTCTTTTTAATTTCTTTCTCCTTCCTGAGCTCTCCTTTATTAAAGTTTGAAAAATCATGATTCCGGTTTCCCTCAAGTGTGAGTTGGGTGGGTGGTTGATGACTTCTCCAAGCGTAAAGAGCATCCATTGGGCTTCCTTGACGGTAAGGGAAGAGCAATTAAACACCTAACATACCACCAAAATCAAGCCGTTGTGGCTCCTACAACGGTCACAGTAGCATGGTCCACAGATAAAATTAAATCAAATACCAAGCTTAATTTCAACTCTGAGCTCTGAAGAGCTTCTACGGCGGATTTGTCAGGAAGCTAATTCTAAGCTTTGCCTTGTCTTACTGGTTTTTGACATTGTTCTAGAATTTAGACAAGAGAAACGATGAACCCAGAAAACAAACAGACTACTACTACGGGATTGATCGAGTCGAGAAACAGACACAGAAGACTGATCTACAATAAGATGAAACAAGGTGGTTGGGTTTTGGTGGTGTGGGTCCTCATCCTCTCTCATCTGCGCACAAAGACGGTCTGTAAATGTGAATTCCAAGAGTTGTGATCGAGTTTCCTTGGTTCATTTTGTTCCAGACCAGTTATTCATTTTCCCCCTGATGAATCTACTTCAGAGTTTATGCTACAGAGCGACTTGGAAGAAAGTCAAGAAATTACACTCTTCGTGGTTGGTGCTTCAGACTCGCAAAGAGACAAGAATACCCCCGTTTATTAACTTTCCATCATTCCGATCAATTCGCAGGAGATGTGCCCTGTTTGTAAAAGAAGGGGTCATTAGGTTGCGTTTGGAAGTAAATCACTTTTGCTTGTATTTGGCAACATAAATGTAAAAAAAAAAAAGCATTTGCTTTATTGGAGGAATTCATGTTTACATCCATTACAGTTAAAAGTCTATTTGGTAAGAAGCTAAATTAGCCAACATTAGGATGTGAGGATATTATTTGATGGTTCATATAAAAATGGAAGGGGAGCAGCGGCTTGTGTAGCAGTTGATGGCGATGGATGTTTCGTAATAGCCAAATCATGTTTAGTGTTTGGAGGGGATGCAGAGATAGTGGAGAGGAAGGGATGTTATTAGCTGTGAAGGTGGCTAATCGGATTCAACGAGGAAATATGCTTATTCAGGGCGATTGTCTATCCGTCATCAATATTATGAAGTCAAAAGATCCAATTGCTCCATAGCGATGCAAATAGTATCGGGTTTACATTATGTTTCTTTCTTTCTCTCATGTTAAGAGACAATTTAATGGATTAGCCCATGCCTTGGCTGCATGGTGCTATGGGTCGAACATTGAAGATGAATGGGTTTCAAATTCACCGCTTTGTATTCAAAGTTTTCTAAGTAATTAAGCAATTTTTTGAAGCAAAAAAAAAAGAAGGTAAATTTGTCAGTGCAAAATTAACCCAATTTTGCAATTTATATAAACCGTTTTATACTACGTATTTGTATTCACACTTATTTACATCGTTTTCAAACACAGTCTAAGTTTTACAGATTTATTTAAATCTATCTTATAATTTGCATTTTACTAAAACACCCTTTTATACTTTATACTTTACAATGTGTTTTTCCATCTAAAAATAGTAACATGAACATCTAAACTAAGTGAAAAATGTAAAATGTTCAAGGGCATGGATTCATGGTTGTTTATTCTAAAAAGCACCCCTAAATTGAGTGACAAATGTTCAAGGGTATGGATCTATGGTCGTTTATTTCAAAAGTGCCTCTAACACTTTTTTTGCATAAAAAAATGAAATTGACCAAATAGAAATATATATATATATATATATATATATATATATAATGATTATCCGTGTTTTATTTGGGGTAAAATTAGTATTTTTGTTTTTAGTTTCTTTTGGTTAAATTTATTTGAATGGATGTTAAGATTAAAACTGTCATTTTTCACTTTCATTTAATAAAAGGTCAATTAAATAAATTGATTGAAATTATAGGAGATGTTTTAGTAAAACATAAACTATAAGATAGGTTTTAATAAATTTGTGTAATTATATGGAATAATAGAAAAAAAAGAGACAAGTGGAGTATTAGGATCATGGAAGCTCATAAAGATCGATACCTTGCAAGTTGCAACCTATCAAATATGAGCTCAAGGACACCCTAGAAGCTTTGTTTTCAAGTGGGTTGTTACTTGTTAGGGAGATAGACAACTCAAAAGCCTCGAATATAGCTTATAAACCGGGATTTTGGCATGGTAACCTAGGCCTACCACCCTAGAGTTAGAGTTGCTGTGTTAATTTTGGCCCAGAGGACTGTCTTCCGGGCTGGGCCCATAACCTGTCGTTGACTCAGCATTGGATGTCCCCAAGAAAAAGCCTATAATAAAGATCACATTTATGATGAGTTGGGTTGGGCTTCACACCCTCCGATTGATGCCTATTTTTTTCAGCTTTCTCCATGAACCTAAGGCTGCGTTTTGAAACAATACAAATTAGTGTGAATGCAAATACGTAGAGTGTAAAAAAGTTCATAAATTATAAAGTTGGGTCAGTTTTGTACTGATAAATTAATCTTTTTACCAAATAGACTTTTAGCTGCAATGGATGCAAATACAAATTCTAATAAAACATATGTCTTTTTTTTTATCAAAAGCCTACTTGATTGCAAATTTACTTATTTTTTATTGATGTACTTTTACATCTTATTATCAATATAAATATGCATTTAAAAATGTGTTTGGATCATTTATTAATGCATAAATGTAATATTGCTAAACACAAGCAAAAATGAATCAATGTGCAAATTTACCTTGAACCGAGATTTGCACTCCATTTGCATCGTTTCCAAACACAGTTATGCAGGATAAGATGCTATCATGTTTTGATTGTATTCAAACTAGTTGGATATAGCACTTGTATTTTCATGTGAAAGACAGTAGAATAGAGTGTATAAGGCCTGTCAATGAGTTGGGTCTACCCGATAGATCCGAACCATTTGAATCGTTTATAACGGTTCTGGTTATATGAATCATACTAACGAGTCGGTTCTGGTTTTAATTTTTGTGTCCTGATTATTATTGATTCAGAATTGGTTTTGTCTATTCCAAATTGATTATATATACCTATTATATTTTATATATTTTGTTATTTTACATGTTAGGACATTTACCTGGGTAACTGTATTTATCCATGTTCTTTTATTTCCCAAGTAAATAATACAATGACTATTATAACCATAAAAATTCATTATTAAAGGGGCAACTTTGTTCCATCTTAATATTGGCAACTTTCCCTTAGGTGGGAAAGTTACTTGCCCACCTGGGAGCCCAGGAAAATAAATTTTCCCTGATCCCCACATAAATCTAAAAATACAGGTCTTACGTATTAATAGGTTTTTGTTTAATTGGATCCAATCGGATTAGACCCGATAGTCTGGATTACTAAATGATTCGGTACTGGTTTTGAAATAACAGAACTGATCAAGTTTGATTCGGTTCCAATACTATCGGTTTTAACAATTAGTTCAAAACAGTTCTATCTTGTCTTGAACCAGACTCGGACCGTTGACAACGAGGGATGCAAACGAATCGGATCGGGTTCGAATTAGGGTATATTCGAATCAGATTTGACATGATTGGATATGATAGGACTCGATTTGAATTCGAATCCTATCGGTAAGTTGGATCTTCAGATTTGATCCGATTCAACTTGTTTTCTTTAAAAATTAATAATTATTAAAAGAAAATTAAAATGTACTAATTTAAATAAACTAAAAACAAAAAATACAAGTATTTTTTAATTATTTTCATCATATATATGCATATTTTTTGTAAATAAATAAATAATATAACAAATTTATAAAAATATATTTATAAATAAATAAATAACATATATATATATGTATTATATATATTTATATTTATATTTATAAATATATAATTTATATATCGGATCAGATCTTCTCGAATCAAAAAGAGGCAATCCAATTTCTAATTGGATCCTATTATCATATTTGATTCAAAGATCCAAATAGGGATGATCCAAATTTGACCAAATAGGATTAGATCTCGGATCGGATGATCCGATCCATTTGCACTCCTATTGACAGTCGTAGCTATCAATGGCTTTAAGTCTAATCTGGGTCAGAACAGATTAGGGATGATAACGAGTAGGATACCCATAAAAATTTGCTTTTTTATCTCTAAACTCACCCACTTAAGCACCTTCTTGATCTCCAAACCATTCTAAAGTAATYAGATTTTCCACAGGTACATGGATTCAAACTAATGGGTCAGGTCAGATCCGAGTCAGATAGATCCAGTCCCAAACCAATAAGCAAATGTGCATAACCAGTTTCGGACCCATAACTGAACTTGGGTTTTTAATAACGGATCCATAGCCGATCCAATAATGAATAGCCCCGATTGGAATGATAAAGAAATTACTTCTTAAAAATTCTTTGGCATAAATAGAGAGCAATAGGTATTTCTCTTGGGAAGAAAATCCAAAATGACTTCTTCTGATTCATCTTTTCACTTGAAAATAAATGGAGTCATTTTGAAATTAATTCTAAATCATTTTGGAAGAATAAGGGTTCAGCCCAGGGTCAGAATTTATAGGCTCAAAGTACTATTGGGTAGATGCCAGTTCAAAGTTGAGGTCAACTCACGAGCAGGCATTGATGCATAAAGTATGGATTGTTGACATTTTAAATGTTGGGAGAATGACCAATCAGCCCAGATCAGGATTTTATAGCCCCAAAGTACAGGGGCAATGCATCCTGACCATGAATTGATGCTAAATTCATGGATAGGATGTGGTTTATAAGGGGGAGAGGGCTAGTAATAGGCGGGCTGAAATTCAGAATTCTGCATCGAATGTATCAGTATTTTTCCGTTAAATGTTTATAACTGCAGTGAAAATCAGAAATCATTAGACCTATCCGTACTTTTCCGAATCACTTTTCACCCTTCACACAAAAATGGTGGAAATTGATTCTTTTTTTTCATCTT